TCCAGACGGGTCACCTACAGGGCAGAGGTCAGGGTCAGTCGGATTAAATGCTCGCCTGACGGGCAAAGGTCGAGATAAGATTATGGAGTCAAATGGGATGTGAGCTACCTATTCAGGTGTGCCACGATTCATGATTGATCAATGATCATGCACTATTAGATTGCTACTTGCTAGCACTTCAGCAATCATCACAAAGTTCAGGTCGGGTACTTCACACTTGCCCGATGATTCTTCATGGCGTGGAAAATCTCCGTAATTTGCGCGTGCTTTAACAATGCGATACATCATCGTTGACAACCATTACAATACAATAAGGTGGAGGTCCGACAAACTACGCGTAAGCTGCATTGCTAAGTCCGTAAACATCTCGTAAACCGTCGGCACCGCGCACCTTCTGTATCTCCCTGATCCAGCGGTTGACGCCGTTCTGAAGCTGGTTGAAGAAGCTCGAGTCGTCCAGCTTCTCCCCAAAGTCCGCCACCTGCGGCTTGCGGCCCTCGTCGGCGCATTTCTTGATCACCTGTCGGAGAACGAGAAACGTTTGAGTGAGTTTGGATCGGACGTACCTATGCATTATACTAGTATTTCATACGGAAAATGCGCGGGCATTGAGCAAACTCAGCTTTCACCCCTGGCTCGGTAGTACGGTATCAGGGTGTCTGGTTACAGTTTATTGATCCACGGGCAAGACGTGGCCTGACGCGGTGAGAGCCACTGCCTCTGCGCTTTTTTCCGACGCTTGGCAGCTGTGACCGGTGGCGGTCGACGATCAATAGCTGAGCGTTGTGACGTAACCGTGGAGGTATGACAAGTGTTCTGCTTTCCCTGTCCGATTGTATGACGTCAGCTGTATTTCACCGCAGCTGTTGAGGGGTGTATTACCTGGGCCACGGCCGGGGTCGGGGTAAACTTGCTAGATAATCTCGGGAATGTCGATGGTTTTATGTCTCTGCAGTCTGCAGAGTGGTCTATTACCTGTGCCACGGCCGGGGTGAGCCTGCAGGGTGATCTCGGGAGTGTCAGTGGTATTATGTCTCTCTGTATTACCTGGGCCACGGCGGGGTGGACCTTCAGGGTGATCTCGGGAGTGTCAGTGGTACTATGTCTCTCTGTATTACCTGGGCCACGGCGGGATGGACCTGCAGGGTGATCTCAGGAATGTCGATGTTTTGCTGAAGGTGCAAAAGGCCCATCTCCAGCTCGGCAATCTTCTTCTCCACCGCCGGCGCCATCTTGTCGCCGTCCCTGTCACACGCAAAGAATGGGAGCCGGTGTCAGTCCACGGTTGCGTGTGTTGAACTCGAGCGCCGCATATTCCGACAGACCAAACATTCAAGGCATAGTGCAAGATTTTCCATTCATCCACACCACAAACGCACATAAAAAATCACAAGCTTCACTTTATCCTAGCGGTTCGGACAAGATCACCCTTTCAACGAGGAAAAGCGATATCCGTATTTCGCCCCCTCCCCCCCCCCGTATATTTCTGGCAACTCCAAGGATACCCTGTCACTCACCTGTCGCCCTTGCCGGACTCCTTGACGTACGACTTGAAGAACGGCGAGACGGCGCTACTGATGAGCGTGTGCAGCGTCTCGTACGGCGACCCCTCGTTCAGCGTGGTCATCAGCAGCTGGGAGGTGAGCGGCTTCTCGGCCTCCAGCACGGCGCCACGCTTCACCAGCACCAGGCTGAGGGAGGACAGAGTCAGGGTTTGTGACAGTTAACCTCGTCGGAGTGATGCTAGCAATGAGAAGGAAAGGTTTGAGTTCTGATAGTCAGAGTAAGATGGGATAGCGAGTCTTGACGTGCATGCGTTCATGAAAAATGCATTATGTAATATACATGCGGCATTTATATTCAATTTTGCGAGTTTCAGCGCAGTCTTTGTGAGATGTTAATGACCATATGCACTCACACACTCGCGATAATCACCGAGCAACCTGCCAATCGTCACTGCATGATCTCACCAGTTGCTCATCATAAATTACCTGTTCATCTTGGCATTGGTGAAGTGGACCTGATTGGAGATGAGGTACTGCACCAGGTCTCGCTCATCCTCCTCCTGGCCCTCGGACTCCTCGTCAGCATCTGAACGTGATAACAGCGTTTATGTAATCAGAATGGGAAAGCTACCTACCTACATTTATAGATAGCAAACTACATTACTGAATTAGGTTGGGTTAATGTGAGAAACCGATTCACGCCGTTTCCGCGCTCGCTTTCTGATCGCAATGCGACTACGGCTTGCAAGTTGGTGACAGTGGTCGAATTACGGGCCAGGTGGGAAATCTTGTCGTCTGTCCGAAATATGCAAGACAAACAGCTTTCGTATCCGAGCCATTGCAATAGTACAGGCTTAAACCATTAACCTAGACCAGCTCGGTTCTAATCGATCTCGCGACGAGGTTATTCTCCTTTTCCCAAAACACAAAATCTTACTCTAATCCCATGGTCTAGCCCAGCAGCCACGATTCTGCGTCTCACTGTCCGCAGTCCGCGACTCACCTTTGGAGGAGACGCGCTCAATGAGCAGAGAGCGCGTCTGCGGATCAGATATAAACTTCTTGATACACTCCACATTCAGACGATCGTCGAGCGCCTGCTGCAACGCGCGCGGCAGCGTCGGCGCCTCCTCCAGGAGGACGCCGGCGGCGCGGCGCACATGTTCACACACGAGCCCGACGTCGGCCAGCGCGACGGCGTCATCGGCGGCCATCTCGCCTCGGCTGTCGTCGGCCGAGTCGGTCATGGCGGCGGCGCTCCGTCGCCCCGCCCGAGCTCAGACTGACGGGCCGGCGGAAAACACTGTGGGGAGAAGCGGAGAGGGTGATGGTCACATTAGGTGACTTGTGAATTGTGATGGAGTGTAATGGGTGGTCAGGGGAAAGAGGAGACTAACAAATGAAAAGTTGGGCTCTGAATAGTCTGCTTGAACTTGCTACAGGATTATCCCATTAGTCAAGCAAAATGAGAATTGAGACTAATAGAATGTGAGAAGTTAACATGAATACACATGTATTGTGGTGCTAGTTAGCAGAGAAGCATTGACACTGTGCGCCTCAGGATCTTAAAACTGCACCCTGGAAATATGTGACAGAGACAAAGAACAAGTCCAGATGATGAGGGGGAGGGGACAACAAATGAATAACAAGGTAGTGCTGCGAATCATCAACTTAGGCAACTGTGGTAACTGGTACACCTAAGGAGAATGGCAGCAGCAGGGATGAACTGGCAGCCCAGCCAGAAGCTCAGTCAGTCTGCAAGTCAATAAGGCTTAAAACTAGGCTAAAACACTTTGATTCAGACCTTTGGCTTAAACACATTGATCCCCTGTGGGATTAAACTGACCAAATGCATCTATCTTTTCCATCAGTCTTTGTCTAGTTTCATATCACTAGCTTTGGCCAGTGGATCTCAATTCTGGATCCTAAGCTTCAATGCTTCAGCAGAAATAGAAAAACATGACTTTCATCACAAATATTTGAAAACTGAATTGGACAGTTAACTCAGCTTACTGCTTCTTCTCTCAGTTGGAACCAAAAAATTGTCGAATACTTAAGCCATATGTGAATTATTAATTCATGATAAAGTAAAACCAACTAATGATCTACATACCACTGATCTACAGTGGAGGGTACATGCATATGTCAACAAGCATTCTGCATTTCAGCCCAGATTTTAAATGTTTTCATTGAGCTGTTTTTGTTGGGACAAAAGCTGAATCAAAGATCAAGTCTGAACTACCTGGCATGGACACCTGCAGTCACTGTCTTCTGCATCTACCAATGCTTGATGACAGCAGAGTCCAGGCCTGCCACTCAACAGCCCATTATTTCAAAACCTGATGTGGTAAGGAAAGGAAAACTGCTGAATTTTCCACAAGGCTGGTAATGAGACTTGACCATGAAGATTTACATGACTTTGTTCACACAACAGAAAAGACGCAGCAAAGTTGTGCCTTAAAAGTAAAAACTAGCAGCGCTGTGCATTCCATGCATGCTTCGGTATATGTCAAGTTTAGGTCCTAACTACAATTGTGGCGCTGTTGATACGAATATAAAACAGCAAAAATTTTAGGTTTTAGGTTAGGTTAGGTTGTAGGTTTGTAGGTTTTAGGTTGTAGGTAGGTAGGTTTGTAGGTTAGGTTAGGTTAGGGTAGGTTTGTAGGTTGTAGGTTGGTAGGTTATAGGTAAGTAGGTAAGGTTAGGTCAGGTTTGATTATGTTTTTCCTTTTATTTGTGAGACATATGAGTATCATTTTTGGATTCAGGATGTCAAATAATGTAATATATGAAAAAATTATCAATGAACTCTTCTTAGGACTTAAACTTGACATTTACCCATGCTTCACTTCGTATCAAATATAACTGGTAGCCACTGATCAATATATAACAATCAGTGCTAGAAACGCACTACCGATTCGATCGATGACTCATCGAATCGCCCGGCCGGCACGGCCACGCCCCGGATCAACTGTCTCCTTTCAGCACAAAAAAGCTCAAAGAACCTCCTGAAATCTCGTTGTAATCAATTCAACAGTTTTCAATTCATTGCCGGTTCTCAACTGACCTGATAAGCTGTCAGAAAATAGCCGAAATGTTTCAAACATGGGCCATCTACGGATCACAAGAACCTCAACCCGCTCCAGCGGAGACGCAAATGGACGAAATGGAACTAATGGGAAATCAACAAGCCAAGGATGGAACAAATGGGCAAGAGCGCACAAATACTTCTGAGAAGAAATATGGTGATTTGACGTCATCGGTTAAAAATGGATTCCACTCTTTTGATGATACCTCTGCAAAACAATGAAAAATTAGCAATCAACACGTATTTTTTACATTTTTAAAACTTTCAGAAGGAATTTATAAAGTTACTGAACGAAAATAAAGTAGCTCTTTTTCCATTATTATTTATAGCTTATGACGTCATTTAAATGTTCAATCCACTTTGTACTCCTAAAGACGAAGTTCCCTTTCATGCGCCATTCTGAAGCTGCAAGTGCATATTCTTATAAACGTTCCAATATTTTTTATTTTTAGTTGGGCACGGTCGAAGAACGCATAAAGGTCAATTTTTATTGAAAATTCGTTTATTACAGCCATATTACAGCAACCTAGCACACTGATGGCTATGGGATAGCATTTTGTTACAACCTGCAAATCTGCTTTTTGGTTTTCCTTTTTTGATTTTTCCGGCAACTGAAAGCTATTTCACCTTGACGTAAAATTTACTCTTTACGCTAGAAAATACTATTCACTGATCATTTTAGCACTGTTTTTCCTTCTCTCCAAGTGTTCCGAGGGTTGTTCACCGGCCCTGTGTGCGGTCGGACCGCACACAGCCTCCAAACTCCGCCCACTGCGTCGCGACGTCCACCTTCCGTCACCGCACACAGCGACCGCCGGTCGGGACCGGCCACAGCGGACCGTCCACCGCACGCAGCCGTGACGTCAGAGCCGCCTATCCATTCCCTACCTCTACGCCTGCTGGACACACCGCACGCAGCAGTGTGCGGTGCCCGTGAACACCCCTCAGTTCTCCAAGTTGTTCAGACTTCAGAGTTGTTGTTTTTTTAAATTATGCATTGATCCATATTGTTAATTGTAGTTTGTACACAGTATACATATTTCAATGTGGGAGCTAGCTAATTTTATCAGTATGTTTGATGCTAACAATCAGCTCATTGATCGTTGCTGACATCACAGCTTAACTTCTCTTGCTAGTTCTCTTGTTAGTTATTTTGCTGAAGTATCCCTGAATTATTTCCTTTGGGTAATGTTCCAAAAACTTACATTCACCTTGCTTTTTATAGGTTTTTTTGCTGAACACAAGGAAACCATTGTTAAGTATCAAAATGGATTACCTTGGTGCTGAAATTAGTAAGAAGATCAAAAGTGCTATAAGGGCAAAGCTGGTGGAGCTTGGAGTTTATGTCGGTGAGTATTTTTACTCATATATTGGAGTGGATTAAATATTTAGGTACCATTCTGTGTCCTGCAGTCTGCATGATACTATACCTGAGACTTTTCTGCTTTTTAGGTATTCAAAAAGGTGTGGGAGTATCATGAAAAGTTAAGACCTAATGAATTGAATGTACAAGATCTAGAAGGCTTATGCTATTTGTTTGAGCAGCATTGCAGGTCAGGCTGATGTTTTGCTCTTGTTCCTGATGGCTAAATGTGTCATTACCTGCAAAAGGTAGGCCATCAGACAGTGAGATGTTGCTCTGATGTCCCCTGAGTAATGCATATGTCTCAATTTTTGTTTTCCAGATGATGAGTTGCCAGACTACATTATGGTGCTGGTGGCCAACAAGAAAACCAAGAGTCAGATGGAGCGTGACCTGACCCTCTTCCTGAGTGACCACACAGTAGCCTTTGTTCAGTGGCTTCAGGAAGTGCTGGACAAGCTACAGACCATCACACTGGCTAAAGGTAGGCCAATGTATTGAATCTCTGTATGTAACAGCAGTCATGTTTTACTCACTTTATTACCAATTTGAGACTTGACTAACAATTAGCATCAGCTAGCCTACATATCTAATAATTGACTAACCATAGGTATTAGGTGGTAGTAGTTCGCTTCTGATGTCATCCAGGCTCACTTGGATAAGAGGCACCTTTGTAATCAAATCATTCATTTTCAGACAAAGAAGAGGAAGAAAAGAGTGTCACTAAAAGTAGTTCAACCAAGGAGAGGGAGAAGAAAAGAAAATCATCAGAGGTAGGCTCAGAATCTGCCAAAAAGGTCAAATCAGATGATCCCAAGGAGAAGGATCGCAAACGCTCAAGTGGTGAATCTCACAAATCCAAAAAGGACAAGGAGAACAAGAATGCTGACAAGGAAAGTAAACATGTAGACAAGGAAAGCAAGCATGTAGACAAGGAAAGCAAACGCACAGGCAAAGAAAGCAAACACTCCGACAAAAGCACCAAGCACTCTGACGCGATCCCCGCCAAAAAGAAGGACGACTCGCGCAGCAAATCTCGCGAATCCCGCGAACGCCGCACGGCCGAGGAGAAGTCAACACGCGAGCGGGCCGCTCCTCCGGCGAAGGCGTCCGACTCCGGCAGCGGTGCGCGGTCGTCCCGCTCGTCTCAGTCCCTGGAGCGAGAGAGCGGGGCGGAGTGTCGCAGTCAGCGCCGCCGTGGCGCCCAGCAGGCTCCGGCGGACAGTAAGAAGCACCCGCGCGTCTCTGCGCCGGTGAAGCCCACCACTGCCACGGGCGCTACCGCTGCCGCAGCGTCACCACCGCCGGAGGAGGAGGAGGACCAGGATGTGCTCAATCTGAGCGCTGAGGAAGGTGGGTGTGTCATCTGTCGGCCAGACGGATGTGTTCATGTTGTAATGCTGCATGGAGTGTTACCATTTAAAGTTCGCCATTTTTATGCAATTGGTGTTTTATGACTTAAGAGTCATGTTACCTTTTCCTCAAGTTATAATGAATATGAAATAATATTTTCGGAGTTTCTTGAGTGATATATATTGAAAAATTGATAGCAAATATTTCGATACTCGTAGTGGTACCTTTTTCAATGCGAGTGATGCACAGTGCGAGCTTTGTTAAGCACAACAAAATAACACAATTCCCATGCAATGGGTGGAGCTGGGTCCTCCAGTGCAGATAAAATAACCTATACGATACCGCCTTCCTAAGAACTTATACAATATCACTGTCTATCACGGAATTCAAATTAAATATTTAGACAATCAGCGCTAATTTAATAAAAAGAGCGTCACTTCAGTTACAGGTAAGTCACACTTACACAAGGTGACCCCCCCCCCCCTCGCGTGTTCGTTCAGCGTGCCAACCATTATTTTTTTAGCACAATGTCCCATATTGGGCTCAGCTGGACGCCACCGCTGTCGAGATTCATTGACAGCGGTGGCTATCCGGAGCCGTTTATCAAGAGGGCTATGAGACGCCGTGACGCCAGCCAGACCGTACAGGGGGAAGCCGCCGCCAGAGACCAAGAAGCCTATGCGGCAGTGCCCTACGTCCCAGGTCTCAGCGAAAGGATAGCCAAGGTTCTCAGGCCACACAGAATCAAGGTAGCTCACAAATCCAAGCGATTGAGGGGTCACCTGGTTAACGTCAAAGATCCCGTGGAGCAGAGCAAGAAGAAAGGGGCCGTATATGAGATAAAGTGCTCGTGCGGCTCCAGCTATATCGGAGAGTCAGGGCGACCAAAACAGGACAGATTGAAGGAGCACACCGCCGATATCAAGCACGGACGCTGCGATACGTCAGCGACGGCCAGACACTTTTGTACCTGTGGCGGTGACTTGAACCCGTTCGAGGCGAGAACCCTGGCCATCGAACGCCACTGGAAAAAACGTAAAATCAGGGAGGCCATCGAGATCCGACAGCTGCGCCCGTCAATGAATCTCGACAGCGGTGGCGTCCAGCTGAGCCCAATATGGGACATTGTGCTAAAAAAATGATGGTTGGCACGCTGAACGAACACGCGAGGGGGGGGGGGTCACCTTGTGTAAGTGTGACTTACCTGTAACTGAAGTGACGCTCTTTTTATTAAATTAGCGCTGATTGTCTAAATATTTAATTAAAATTCCGTGATAGACAGTGATATTGTATAAGTTCTTAGGAAGGCGGTATCGTATAGGTTATTTTATCTGCACTGGAGGACCCAGCTCCACCGATTGCATGGGAATTGTGTTATTTTGTTGTGCTTAACAAAGCTCGCACTGTGCATCACTCGCATTGAAAAAGGTACAGTCACCAGCACTTGCTACTAATCACCTCGTTTTTGTTCAGTAGTTTGAAGACCGATCAATTGTCAGTCGCGCAAGATACGTCAAACGATCCGTTTGGTCCTCCGATTTTCGAATATCTAACTTGTTTTTGTATATTCGAAGCATTTTGGGATGGGGAGCCAAAAAACCTCTTTTCTGCCCTAAAGTGTGCCCCAAGAAGTCGTAGAACCTAGCCCCGCCTCTGATCCACAGACCACTAGTGCCATCTCTTGTCAGCCGAACAAGCCGCAGAAGTAAATAATGTCACGTGATCTTTGCACACGCTACAATTACTACGCAGCTGTAGTGGGGGAAGCGGGGCGGAGGCGTGGAGAGGGACGCGATCGGTCGGCTGGGGTCAGGTCGCCGAGGTCAGAGGTCATCCGCCGGAGGTGTTTGAGCGGTTGGGCCGTGTGGGCTAGGGCCTGCGGAGTGGGGAGCGCCTGGCCTGTCTGGAAACAAGCCCTACAACGCTGTGACAGTCGAGAATATTGTGAGGAAAGAGAGAGAGAGAGAGAGAGAGAGAGAGAAGAGAGAGAGAGAGATAGAGAGAGAGATAAGAGAGAGAGAGAGGAGATAGAGAGAGAGAGAGACAGACAGAGACAGAGAGACAGAAGACAGAGACAGAGAGACAGAGAGACAGAGAGACAGAGAGACAGAGAGGAGAGAGAGAGAGAGAGAGAGAGAGAGAGAGAGAGATAGAGAGAGAGAGATAGAGAGAGAGAGAAGAGAAGAGAGAGAGAGATAGAGATGGAAGAGAGAGAGAAAGGAG